ACCGTGGCCCGTGTAGCAAATTTAAGGAAAAAGAGTGCTTCGCCGGTGCTGGTTATCGGCGGCGATGTGGCGGACGCCGCCATCTTTAGCTCTTTGGGGCTGATTGGGGCGAATCCCTTTCAGTGAGGTAGCCGAGCTCAGTTGAGCTCAATCATCATTAGCGGCTTGATGACAGTTGGCGCCGCCGTGTAACTCCAGCCGACCGCGATTGAGTCCACTGTCGTTGGCTTAATGACAGTTAAGAGCGCTAGTGCAACCTAAGTTCTTAGATCTATTAGTTGACAAGCTTCACGGAAGGGCGGCGTTCGAAAACGGTTCTTCTGTGTTGCCGGCACGCGAGCAGGTAAGGGCGGATAGCGTTCCTAGCGTCACCAGCGTCAACGCCTCCTCTACGTGCAACGGATAAGGACATTTCTTGAATGACGCCCATTCTGCGTCAAGTATTGCGCAGAATGAGGTAAATAAATAAATAAATAAATAAATGTTTATTTCTCCATCACATCCATGATGGAAGGAGACCGAGAAAAAAAAGCTGCAAAAATGCAGCTTGACGAGTCCTCGGCCCCCTCCCTACAATCAGCAGCAGTGGCAGCTCACAAAAAACACAAAGTAAAAAAAAAAAAACAAAAAAAAAACAAGCTCAATAACACAAATAGCGAAATGTATCAATAACATGCAGAATATAGCAAGTTCCAACTCTAACAATTCAATAAAAAGTTAGTATGATTATCACAACAAAAGCACACGTATTCAGAGATATAGAGAGCATGATTAAGCACTGTTATATAAGTTATGATAAATTATAAGCTTATGGCGAACAGACATAATAACTATACATACGTCAGGACACTAGAACACTGATCGATCAAAGTCATCAAATTCCACGCTTAAAAAAAGATCGAATTTCTTTCGGAGTTTATGTTAAAAGTTCAATATTTTGAGTGTTCAGATAATTAAGTAGGTTGGGTAATACATTCGATAATATCTGCTCACCGTAAGTAGTTCTACAATTTGGCACTTTCCAGTTTTCTATGTTGCGAGCTGAATATATTGGATATATACTCGTCAGAGACGCTAGGTTGACAAGATGACATATTTTTCATGACTTCGGACTTGTAACTTAGGCATAAACGGTATTTATATAAACTATACACATGCAATACATTCAAACGTTCGAAAAGAAATCTGCTAGGGTGATCATATGGAACATTACTTCTAATTAGTACTATTTTCTTCTGGAGCACAAGTATCTTATTTAAATTTGCATTAGTAGTATTTTCCCAGACAATATGACAGTATAGTGCACATGCGAGAGAAATGAAGAGTTGTAGATGAATAATTTCACACTTGCTGGCAGAATGGAGCGATGACGGCATAATATGCCAACGAACCGTGACAACTTTACCAAAATATACTTACATGGTCAACCCACGTCATTCGTTCCGTGACTATAATATACCAAGCGTTTTGAAGCGAGTCAAAACCTCAATTTTGGTCGTATCCAACACAATATCTGTTGTGATAGAGGCATTTTTATTTTTTGGTTGAAACAAAACAGCCTTGGTTTTGTTCACGTTTATTTTTAGCGCGTTAGAGTGACTTCAGCTACCCAGCTTATGGAGAGTTTGATTACCCCTATTTGCTAGTCCAAGACAGCAGTCTCCTTTAAAAAAAATGGACTTGTATCTTCAGCGTAAATCACAAATTTTGTACTTTTATTTAAATTGACACTGTCATTAATATATAAATTAAGCAAAAAAGGGCCCAGAATGCTGCCTTGTAGGATACCGGATACGATTGATTTAATGTCAGAAGAATAACCGTTAATTTAAACCTACTGTTTACGATGAGCAAGGCATGACGAAATGAGAGCTGACGCGGTTCCACGGAGCCCGTACTTTTCTAGTTTTTTTTTTTTTTTATGAGCAGTCTATGATGTAAATAATCAAATGCTTTGGTGAAATCAATAAAAATCCCAAGGGTAATTTTTTTATCCTCAAAACTTTGCAAAATATATTCTTTTTGCTCCAGCTAGGAGAGCGAGTTCCGTAGATCGGTTGTTACGAAACCCAAACTGTGACGGAGTGATTATATTGTATTTATCCAAAAACTTAATCAGTTACTTTACCTTACGTTTACCTTAAGAACCACGATAAAATCACTTTCTATATAACGCCGCTAAGCCGGTAATGTGCATCCAACATTTCAGGGGTTCTTACCCGTCTGTCCATAGGGCGGGCTGACAAAAAGTCGTTTATACTGAGAGTTTGGGCAATAGGTGCTTGTTGCCCGCTAGAACCAGCAGATTTCGCGATAACACTAAATGGCGTTACTTCTTTGTCTTGTTTATTCCTGAGAGATCGCATAGAGTTCGAGTCAAAGCCACAAAATGGCAGACGGAAGTAGTCATCCCCCGGTTGTCAGACTACGCTGCTGTGGTTGCCAGGCTGTCAAAATCTCATTAAGAATAAGGCCAAAGTCTTTCAGCATAAACGGCTCTGGGCTGACATGGCTGACAGTGTAGCAAGCGCCACTCAGCGGACGCGCCAAAAAAGGCGTCAGGCGTCTTCAGAAGCCTGTCAACTAACCTAGATGTAAAACGTTGAGTGTGAACGCTACAAAAGATTCTGGCGCGAGCAAAGCGTATGATCTCGCAGATCATTTGCACGTGCTCTCGCGAAATCGAAACCATATATAAAGCTACGCGTTCGCGCCAGTAGCTTTGACAGCGTTGTATACTAAGTATGAAACTGAGTATGCAACTACTAGGTTTCATATTTAGTAGTTGTAAGTATGAAACTTAGTACAGTAGCGTACGCTCTTCGCGTTGCTATCGGGAGCTCGTGCCGTCACTTTGAAAATATGGATTGAGCACCAGCCCGCTGCCAATAAAACGCATGCTTTATGTGAACCGTTGTAGCACTTAGGCCGCCTACTTTTTATTTTATTATAAGTGTTATCTCTCATACGTTTGTCGAGCGTTTAGGTAATGTTACTGTTAATGCTACTAATAAATAAAATTACCCGCGAACAGGAACGGTGCTGTCGGTGGCCCTAAAAAAAAGGTGTTTGAACCACGAACGGTTTGATCAGACGTCGCAGTGTCTAAGGCATCATCAACACAAATTCATTCTTCGGAATTCGACCTCAACGAGGGTTCTGCCGATTAGAAAATTGGACTTCTGCTCTCCTTGAATCTGTTGTGTATTTATACGAAACAATAAAGCTATACGCTTTGACTTGAACTGCAACATTTTATTTCTGAGATCGCAGTACACCGACAGTGCAGTGCACTGGGCAACCAGTAGGCCTGGGCGAGGCACATTTCTTTAGTAGGGTACAACTTTTAGTCCAGCAGGACTAAAAGCAAGGGTACAAAATATAGTGACTGAGGACCAAACGTAAAGAAGTAACATTTAGTCCTTGGGGCCTAAATACAAGGGCGCAAAATTTAGACCTAAGGTTCTAAATGCAATAGGGCAAAGGTTATTCCCCGGGGTCTAAATGCAAGCGTGCAATGACTATACTCCGTTTCAGCTTCCGTCCGAGCGCAGCCAAAGCTACGTGTGGCCGGAGCCAATCACACGCAGGCAGTAGGTCACGCGATCTCGCCTGCACTTTTGTATCACTCCGCTGCGCCGCTGGTCGCCCGCGCCACCCACACTCGGCGAGTATTTCGTCTGCTACGGGTGTATCAACGATATCGGCTGCTACAGTTTTAAAAAGTGCCCTTTCACGTTCTGAAACTTAGTCACAGGGGATGTCAGTACGTAGGCTGGCCACTGGCATCTGTGTCCTAGCTTTCCACCTGTTCGGCATAGTTTCGAGATGTAAGTACACGTTGCAAGGTCCCCGATGACCCGGCCGTTGATGTTTCCTTGTATTGTTTGGCCCTACCAGGGCTCGAGGCGCAGTCCTTTCCACCAGCATCTCGGCGTTCAATGCGATCGGCAGGTAAAGGGGTGCCCTGATTTCGCCGCGTATCTGAATTGCACTGGCCCGGACGCTTTGCTTGTTTACAACGCATTCGCGGTACGACGCGGAATTTGAATTTGAATTTGAACGGAACCGAATTTGAAAGTAGACATTCATCACGACCTTTCGCGCCTGACGGCCAAATGTGCCTTCGCGAAAGGGCGTTTTGAAGCGACTCGGTGAGGAAAGCAGCGAAGCACATGATTCGGCCATTAGGGGTACGAGATCATGCAGAAGAACCGAGCGCTGCAGCCGTGTTGCCAGCGGATATACATGTTTTCACCAAACCACATGCATTTACGAGCTCGTACATACAGTAATAGAAACATAAACATTTTCGTTAGTTTTTTTTTTTTTTTAAGTTTATTAATATTTTGGTTTTGTGTGTTTTCTCCCTCTATCTTTTTCTGTTTAGCTTTGTCTCTTCTATCTTTTTCTGTTTACCTTTCTCTCTTCTATCTTTATGATTTTCGCTTCCGTTCATTTCACAATGTAGCAAACCAGCACCAGGCGCTGGTTGACATCATTGTTTAATAAACGCCTACCCGAAATCATTGCAAAAAAATAAACTTCAGAGATTTGATTCCTTTAGTTGCAGATCATTATCAGCAGTACATATCTGGAATATTGTGCACTGTTTACGCACAAAACAGTTATTTTGAAATAAATTACTTTTGTGAACTACTTTGTGGTGCGTAGGAATGCTCTTCTCGAAGTTGCGAACCGTCCCTCAGCCTTTGGCTGCGCTCGGGCGGAATCTAAAACGAAGTATAGTCCTGCGGGCCCAACCTTGATAGACTAACGGAAAAGGCGCAACAATTGCTTCCGTCCCGTTAGTCCCCCAGGGGACTAATGGTGGTGGCAACGCCTTGCTCCACGAAAAGACTAAGTGGCGCTCCCTTTTTTCTTGTATATCCTGTGTGTACACCCCATAACAGGACGGAGCAAATAGGTGAACTGCACCCCCTAGGGAAAAAAAAATTATAATGCGTCCACACCGTCTATTGGCGGTGTAAAGCCCTCACCTCGAGAGGGCCGTAGGAGTGTGTCCAGCGCCGTGCATCGCCGTCCGGTGACCGGACGAGGACGGGGTCCCGCACGCTGTCCCGCATCCGGGCGGACTCGCGGGCGGCGTCGGCGGCGTGGGGGCCCCTAGCCTGGTCATGATGTTGAGGTTCTGGAGCCAGTGGAGGCTCGTCAGAGCGTCGTCCACGTTGTTGTTGCTGTTGTCCAGCAGCGCCGGCCCGTGGCTGGAGGGGAGCGGAGGACACATGGCCTTCCAGTTGCGGGCCAGGCGTTCGGCCGCCTCGTCCTTGGACAGTTCTGTCAGGCCGGACATGGCCGCCGGCTGCGTGGGAGTGAAGACGAAGAATACTTGTCTCGATCATTCGAATCAACCCGAGGAACACCGCATGATTCCTGCATGTTCGGGCGTTATATGATTGGTTGCGCTCGGTTACGGGGAGCTTTCCCACTTTCCGTTCCCCTTCTCGCGTGGCGCCGAGCGATGGCGCCCGGTTGCGGATCGCACGGTCCGGGGTTCGATTCCCGCTACGCTGCTTCATAAATCTAGCGAATTACGATAAACTATGAACTTCTATATGATATCTATGATTATACATTGCCTGCTTTGGTTATGTATGCGTTTCATGTTACCTTGACCTGCGCGTAACGGTTCTTCGATATGCTCAAGCGCAACGCTTTTCGTATAAGATCAAGCCTTTAACACATTCTGTTCTAAAAAAAAGAACACGTGAGTATTTAGTTAGGTTACTACAGACACGGACGTGTTAAATGTGACTCTTTGGTTGGCGTTCTTATAGGCTAATCCTGCAATGAAGAGCGATAATAAGATGTTTTCTCCACAGTCCACGCCCCTCGTTTTGAAAGCTGTCAGTGACGGTATGCTTTCGCGCGAGTCTTTGCCAGAACTGCACACAATTCTCGTGGGTAACTTGTGAGATATAGTCACTTTTCGAAATGCGGCACAGATTATGTGCGGCCGCCATTAGTTGGTCATAGTCGGATCGAAGCGCTTTCCACGCGAGTGCTGCGTCAGTGCTCGGCGCGAACTCGGAACTAATCGAGCGGCTTCACTCCGGAAGCGATAAGACCAAGTAATGGGGGGCTGCGCATAATCTATGCGTCATTTCACAATTTCAGAGAGAGATGAAGCAATATCTTTGTGTGGCTCGATCCCCCTTTTGGTTCCTTTCCACGTGGTGTCTGGCATGACCACGACGTGTTTTGATGCTTGCAATCCCGATGACTTGTCCTCGCTGGTGAACTGCGCGCTTAGTAAGGCGTGCACGAAGACATAGAGCAAGCCTGTTGGGTAGTTTTTGGCGCATCGTGCCCTGGTAGCACGATACACAGGCACTATCGGATGCCTGTGTTCGCATGCACTTCCAGGAGTCGAATAATTAATTAACTCGTTTATTTTCAGTGTCCACAAACATCTTGACGCCTCCTTAGTGGTGTACTTTCCAACTCCTTTCGAACCAATATAGAAGCGACGATAAGAAAGTTCAATAAAAAAGTTGGCATTAATACAATGTCAAAAGCTACGCGTGTCATAAAAAACGAAAAAAAATGCCAGAGGTAGTTCTTGCAGGGATATTTGAAGTGCTTTAAGGTGTGCGCCCGGAAGTATCAGGCATTCGACAACGGTTTGCTAAGACATCCTGCTGTGATCGCCTTTTGTTTGTTTCACATCAAGATTCAGTGTTGGCCACGCCAGTCACCGCCACCGGTGCAACTCTTGTGCGACTGACAGTATACGTGGATTTCGAGAGTTGCAATCGACAGTATCGATGGCGTATGCGCGACGGAGACGGTGCTTGCTAAAGTATAAAGACCGTGCAATATAGTTGTACCGGCAGCGCCATATAGTCCGGAATTTCCGGAACAATGAGGCATGATCACGGTGGCATAAGTTGCCTTTTTTGGCAGCCGGCGGCGCTGACAAGTGGCCGAGTGCTGTTTCCCCGGACCACTGCCCTGGGTCCATATATGCAGTAGCGGCCTCGAAACGCCGGCACCCGCTAAGAGGGAGGTGGAAGCAGCGATGGCACACGCACTACCGTATCTTCCGGGCTCTAGTCCGCACCCGATGTATAGTTCGCAAAAACCAATTTAGGCAAAAAAGAAAAAAAGTTTTTGCTTAGGTATAGTCCCACACACGGTGCACATAGTCCACACGCCGTGCATAGTCCGCACCTGGTGCTTAGTCGACACGAAAATCTTGTCATGCACGGAACACCTTGACAGTGGCTGCTTTTTTAGCTGACAAAGATGCTCGTATTATACATAAATAATCATTAGCATACTCTTTAATTCACAAAATCCGTAATGTCTCGTCAAAATTAACCATCTTGAAAACAAAATTCCTGTACAGTCCGTACGCGTAGATAGTCCGCACAGCCTAAACTTTCCACTTTTAAACAGGTATAGTCCGGGGACTGTAGGAAAATACGGTACTCAAAGTTGTCATTTTCGGCCACTAGTGGCGCTGATTAGCGGCTGACCTCTACCCCCCCTGCACGCAACCCTGGGGTAAGAAGCAGCAACCGCGAAATGACAGTAGCTGCTAATTAAATGGAAGCAGCGACAACGCGTACTACTCAAAGTTTCCCTTTTTGGCTACCAGGGGCGCTGACAGCGGCTGACTGCTGCGCCCCCTATACATGCTCTGGGGCAATTCTCCACTTTCGCGACCTATCCACTCCGTGCAACGCGACCTGTGCGCTGCCGTGCGGCCGTTACCGAAGATAGGCAGTGAGAACACGAGCAAAACGAATTTACTCCGCGTACATTGTTATGCATTGAAGTCGAAGCGGTGCGGTTGCGCTGCGTTGATAGCATGAGCTACTCGTGGGGACAAAGTTTGATGGTTTTTCAACTCACTGTTGTTTTGTGGGGCAGCGGGGCACGGCCGACATATCTACATTGCCGGTTTGCGCGCTGTGCTCGTTTTTGTGCCAGTAACGCTACAATTGTTAGCGCCGATGGGACGAACTGAAAAACCAGCCCACACTCGCGGGTACGCAGCGCCCATTCCGTTGGCGGGATGCCCTCCAAAGACGTTTCTTCCCCATCGTACGTGTTGATGATCTTTCTGCACCAGTATGGCTGCAGTCTGGAGTTCACGAAGAAAGATTCGAATGGTTCAAAAAGGCGATTTTGAACGGTGCGAACGGCGAATGGTGCAAAAAGGCGATTCGAACGGTGCAAAAAGCGATTTATAGTTATTTACATAGAGGCCTACATCACTGCTCGGCATAATAGCAGAAGTGAGTACATGAAATACATTAATTTCTAACAAAAACATCGAAACACAAACGAACTTGAATAAATGTCAAACACATCCTTCAGTAGCCAAACTTTTCCATTCTTCTATCGTTTTCGAGAAAAAGAAGAAAAAAAAACAAAAAAAAAACGCAAAAACATAAATTGGGCAAAAGTAGGGTCGAATTTTGTTCTGGTGGTCTGCCATTCCTAATATTGCCGCGCGCCAAGTAGGCAGCGCGGCCGTGGCCTAACGGTTATCGCTCTTGCCTCCCACGGACAGGGTTCGATTCCTGGGAGCGGCGCATCTTTTTGTTTATTCCTGCAGACTAGTATTCTGGTAAATTCGAGAGCCATCTTGCTGATTCGAGATTAGAATGTACTACGCGCCGAACCTTCCACGTCGAATGCTCCAGAAGCCAACGTGTGTACAAAAGCGGCTCCGCGTGGCAAGCCGGAGTCAGTTTCACCCCAGCGTTCGACTCTGCTGCTACGCCGACTTCGACGCCCGCGACGCTCTGTTATTATCTTTTGTACCCGTTTATTTTTGGCACAAGTTCGCCACATTAAACGTTTATTTCTTCCTGTTTATCTATTGTTTTTGGTCACCACCCGTGACAATATATAAGAAAGTTTCTCTAAAAACATTTCTCCACTGATTAGAGGGCGATTGTTAAATATAATGTAAACATTTGAACCGAAACATTTTTTGCCGTTCAATTAGTGATTCCCTTTATAAACTAACCTTCATAGTGGTGACACTCGCCCCGTGTTGGTAATCGTTCAAAACAAATCTAGCACATTGATTTTGTATTTTTTAGTTTTTCTATGAAGTTTTTGTGATGGGGATCCCACACCAACTGCTGCATTTTCAATAAAAGGGCGAATAAACGTAAAGTACGAAGTTTCTCTAATTTTGCATGAACCCTGTCGAAAATTTCGTCGTATAAAATTTGGCATGCGTACAGCCTTTAGAGTTATCATTCCCACATGAGATTTCCAAGTTATATCGCAAAACAGAATGACACCCAAGCATTTTACGTTTGAGTTAGCCTGAATTATTGCGGTTGTTATTATGTAGGTTGAGCCAATGAAGTTTTTATTTCGAGTACTATCGTGGACACTGTTAGCTATAACACCGCAGCGGCGGCCGTCCCGTACCCTCAGCGCCTCATAGCAGGTGCCGTCCGAAACTCCGCGCATGCGCCGTGTGGCGGACTCGCTCTTCCCGTTTGCGAGCACACCCTCGCTTTGTCGTCTGCTAGGCGCAGAGCAGTGCGATGCCACAGTGCTGCTCGTCTGGGACCCTGGCCCTAACAAACTGGTCTCAAACTCATTTTAAACCGGCGATTTTGATTGGGGGAGATTGCAGTCAATGAGGCATTAACCCTGTCTACGTTTTTTGTTTTTTTTTCAGAAACAGGATTTCGCAATGCATCTTTCACAATATGCGCTCGCAAACCAGTGTGAGCGCAGCAGGTGTGATACAGAAATAGACTTATACTCCGTTTCACCTAAAGTCCGAATGCAGCGTACGCTACAAAACGACATAGCCAATCAAATAGCGGCAAAGGTGCAATGTCACGGAGTGCATCACCGGGGGACACAATAAGGTGCAAAAAGTGAGCTTTTGTCGCTTTCGGTTGGCCCTATCGTCTCGTAGCATCCGCCGCGCTTAGACCTAAAGTGAAACGGAGTATAACTGCAAGTTTGTCCCATTAAAAAAAAAAAAAGTAGTCTACCGTGATATTACAATTAGTGGCGATGATTATCCTTAGCCAGCGGAGTCAGGGAATCAACCGTGGACACCACTTACGCGGTGGTTTGCTGAACCCTGTTCAGGAAAATTGGCAAGCGCTGTGGCGTCGTCTGCTCCGTGCCTAGCAGACGACAAAGCGAGGGTGTGCTCGCAGGCGGGAAGAGCGAGTCCGCCACACGGCGCATGCGCGGGATTTCGGACGGCGCCTGCTATGAGGCGCTGGGGGTACGGGATGGCCGCCGCTGCCGTGTTATAGCTAACAGTGTCCACGATAGTACATCTCACGTGAACAA